GTTCTCGTAGGGCACAACTTACCTTCCCTAACGGGTTGTCACCACGCTTAGAGGTGTATCCCTACCAAGCTACTGACCCACGTGCGAAAGTTTTTAAATGCAACTGAAGAGGTACGTAAGTCGAGGATGTTTGCTCGATTCGCTGCAGTATAAGAAACGCCTGGTTAAAATGCCTATTGAACTCGGACGTAATTCGTCCTTTAGGGCGTTGATCTCCTGAGTACGAAGCATGCATCAGTCAACTAGGACAGTCTCAACCAAGCGTGAAACCCCCAGCTCAAACCTAGTCTCTTTAGACACGATGACGGGGCAGAAACCCTTACAAGGGTATCCGCCGGCGTTTTGACGGCTCGAGGGAAGGCGCCGTTCTATCCGTAAGCTGACGGGGCGTCGGTAAGCGAGTAAAAGACAAAGTAAACATAATCCGCCGCGGCGCGGCAAAAGATTTAATGGGTATCCCAACCCCCTGTACATATTTACATTTCTTTTCTTATCGGGTATTGACCCCACGTCTGTCTTTTCAAAATTTGTTACTCAGACTCTAGGGTTGGGCACCCAAGTGGTTGTAGATAGGGCAGTTGACGCTACAAAGACATATCGCGGCGGAAACTACTAAAGGAAGGAAGCCGCAACAACAGGGATGTCGGGGCTACCATTCCCCTTCGCCCCCACCATCAGAACGACGCACTACGACCTAAACAAAAGGTCGCCGTGTGGCCCATCGGCCGTGCAATTCAGGGTCCATCGGAGGAAAAAACCAACGTAAAAAAATACCTGGAGCACGACTGCAACATAGGAGAAAGGGGGAAGTCTAAGAGGGAGACGCTCGAATTAAAGGCCTATCCGAGAAGACTATCGAAAAAGGACCTACCCTACCGCAACCCTTATAGGACTCAACCCCGCTCCTACGCCGTGTGTGTGCGCGCCATGCCATTTAACTAGGAAAAAATGGGTGTCTAGGTAATATGACAGGAAGCCGTGGAAATAGGCGCATCGGGACCAAGCATTCCCCGGCGTTCCTACCACTAGGACAATGTGCGACATCCTAAAAAGAATGGGGTCGGCCGCGCGATTCAGAGCTCGACGGTTGGAAACGGCCGCGCCGGGCAATGGTCTGAAGGCGGCGCGATAGCGGGCAAAACTAAGGGTTGGAGTTGAAAATTTACCTACGGAAACCTACCCGTAAGAACGCACCCTATCTGAATTTCTATAAGCCGGACCCCTCGCCTACGCCATACCTACCTATCACACGGCCCAGCTAGGCTAGGAGGGTGTGAGGACGGTGCAAAGGGGGAGGCGCTAAGTGGAAAAAGGCCTAAAGGAACATGCCTCGGGAAAATTAGTATGCTACCCGGCGTGTACCTTTCTTATAGTAAGGGCGCTCCCACCTATGCCATGGTAGGAGCTAGCCCAGTGTGTTCGGAGGCGGGATGACAAGCAGCTAGTATATGGATCCAGCCCCACTACCTCCGACCGTCGGGCTGGCTCCCGTTTTGGAACGACGGAGCAAGTAAGCACTGGCGGGGCGCCTCGCCCAACGGTAGAAATACAGGCGGCGCTCCTACCTGTACCATGGTAGGAGCTAGCCCAATGGGTTTGAGAGCGGTCCGACAACCACCGGATACGCGGATCGAGCCCGCGCACGCCATGTTTTGCGGACAATAGGAGGGCCGAAGGCGCCCGATTCGAATAAGGCACAGGGCGGCATCCGCCACGCCACCTGGAAAATCGCACGAAATGGAGTCCGCCGCCAAAAAAAAAAAAAAAAAAACCCTTCTAAAACCCTCCTACGAGGCGGCGGGACTCGATCTCTGGGCAGCGGGATAGGAGGACCCCATGACCGTTGGGAGGAGGAGCTAAGGGGAACGAAAACGAGATGTCAAAAATGAAAATGAACGGGATTTTCCTGGAATGATCGTGTAAACGGGGGACTCGAACTGCGGGCCGCGGCGTGAAGGGAGCCAAAAGCGCGTTAAAACAAAAACAGGGGGGGACTAAGAAGAAACAAAAATAAGAAAACAAAAATAAAAACAAGCGGGATTTCCCCCTGATATGACCGCGCGACGGGGATTGGAGCCGTGGGCAGCCGGAGGAGAAAGGCAGAAACGACAGGTAAAAAAGGGGGGGGGCGACTCAGATCCCGACAATAACGGCTAGCCCTGCCCAAAAACGACGCCCACCTAGCTATACCTACGCCTTCTTGTTTTTTTTATTTGTTTTCCTTTTTTTTTTTGTCGTTTTGTCCCTGCTTTGATGAACGAGGGTCTTAGCCTCATTGCCACTGGGTGGCGCGAGGCGAGGTACCACCCCGTGTCCTAGCAGAAGATTCATTCTCTAGGTGGGGTTGAGCCTAAAAGAAAAGTGGGTGCTCGCACCCATACTACACTAAAATCGAACCAGGGTGCCTGGTATAGCACCGCGGAAGAGGCCGTGGCTACGACTGGGGCAAAAATGGCCATGATGGCCCTCCCTTTGGCCTCAGCTGAGCCATTATGGCCGCCCTGCAGACTCAGCACCCCACGTTGGATCTTTCTGATCCTGGGGGTGGGGTTAAGTGTCGGGGAAGGGACACTTGCACATGGGAAGAAGGACTAAACTGATGACGTGATTCCCTCCATTGAGATCAGTGGATCTCATGGTTGGGGATCCAGCAAAAGAAGGGAGGGTTTGGGCTGAATAAAACACCAAGTCCAGCCTCCTCCCGCGGTACCGGCACTGGGAAGAATAGCCAGGTACGTCAAACTTTAGGAATTCATAACTCCTAGAATAATGGTCTGAAAAATACAAGAAAAAGTGTTTCAGAAATGAGACAGTGTCAGCCATCTCGTGAGAATTACGAGATGACTAATTGAGCTAACCCTGAATAGATAAAAACAAGAGAAAGGGGAATAGTCAAAGTCAGTCGCACTAAGTGTGCGGCTGCGGTGCGACGACATCACAACGTCGATCTCACAAAAATCGAGGGCCCAGGGCCATCTCGAATTATTGCCTAGGGGCTAGAGTGTCGAGACACACTCTCCACCTTGAATTATTGTCTAAGGGCTAGAGTGTCGAGGCATACTCTCCAACTCACCTATAAAAACAAGCAATGCCCAACAGTTGCCACACAAGGAGCACGTGTTGTGGGAGTGGTCGCACACTCTAAGGCATTTGTGAGTTGTGGGAGTGCTTTGGGAGTGGTGCTGGGAGCCTATTAGAGGAGCTGCTGGAGCGAAAAGGAGGAGGAGGAGCCACCATAGCCACAAGGTGGAGGCACCTTGCCGACACCTTGGGTTGGTACCGGACCTACGGCACATGTGCTAGGGACCACTCCATTGGAACGGGAGCTCACCTCCAAGACTCAAGGGAGCGACATTTTGGACTTAGCTTTGGCCGGGGGCCGGTTTTATTATTTTGAGCTTGAGCGTGGCCGACGTAAGGGAGCATGCTATCGGAATAATCAAGCGGCAAGACTACGTCCGCATACGGAGAGGCGTTGCCGACCTTGTCGTACGTGGGCGTCAGGATAATTTTGTGAGAGCGTCGTGGGACCGCCGTTGGGCCTGTTTTTTTTACACCAAGGCGGTGCCTTTTATTTTTGGAAGCAAGGGTCCCGGGTTGCGGCGCGACGAGGCGGCCGTACCGCTTAACCACTTGTTGGCGGTTCACGGCGGTGACACCAAGTAATTTTTGTGTGGCGTTCCAAGTGTGTCGTCGTGGTCCGAGAGAGGTGCCGAGTGCGGCACAAGCTCAAGGCGGTCGCCGGTGCAAACTTGTGGCGGTGTGACGCAAGGGATTTTTTTTGGTAGCGGGAATGGCGCAAGTCCTTGACGTTTTGGCGTGGTGGAACCCTTGGTACCAGTCCTTGGCACCATTGGGACCATTTGGGACTACGCCGCATTGACGGTCCTATTAATTGGACCTTTTACACCTCTATGACGAGGAATCTATCTTGAAGTACATCGGCAACCGTCATTACATTGGGCCCGGAGGGACCAATTTGGAACCAGGGGTGTCACTCATCACTTGTGGGACGTGCCGGAGCAAGCAAGGACCGCTCAATAATTGTTGGGGTTCACGGCGCTTGTGATTTTCTATTCAAAACATTTTGGAGCGTGGTTGGCGTTCAAGATTCAACTTGGCTTTCTTGGGTGAGCTAGTCAGCATCAGCGACACTTCACTCAAGGTCAGTTAATGACTCAGACCCCTCACTGCGCACGTGAAACCACACTTTGTTTGCCCCATTTCTATTTCTTTGAATATTCAGTTGAAAGAAAGAAAGGCTGGTTTGTGTGTGCTCAAACGTGAAAAGGGAAGTGTTGTCTGACCCCGGGTATTCCTGCCTACTCTCAGAATCTGTCTTGGCTTTGTACCTTGTTGCAGGCAATGTGAGAAAAAACTTTGCATATCCAATGAAGACTAGGGTCTTGCGGGTGTGACGCTCCACCTATGAAATGCTTAAATGCTCCTTTGTTTTTGGTTCGCAAGATCCTTGGTCGATTGAGGCTCACAAGGGAAGGATCTTGTCATTAATTATGCCTTCCTTTATTTGGCTAAGCGGCCTCCGCTTTAGGAATTCAACGATATGGGTCGTCCGTTATATTGCTATAAAGTGATCCTCGCCTATTACCCACGACAAGAATTGTAGGACGGGGTGAAACGGGTCGACGGGGCTCCTCTATTTTCACCGTTCTTTCTTGAACTATCGGGCGCATAGGAAATAGCTCCAATAAGCATGCACCTAGCAGCCTCATCTGGCTTGGGGAGAACCACGGAAGGAAGGGTAGCTTCCAACTCCCATAGGCCTTGTGGAACTAAGCAGCGATAGGAATCACCCTACATTTAGCCCGCAGACACTTGGCGTCATTCTACATAAATAGCTCAGCCTCTCGTATATTTCACTTCACTACAAGGTTTTTGTGTTGCTGGTTCCTTTTCTAGGAGAACGACGAAAGTTAGTTCGCCGTGACCTCCATCGCTTATCGTGCCGAGGCTTAGACAAGGGAGTGAGTCGGTCAGCCGGAGAAATGGGGGCGAGGGTGACAGACAACACGGGTGCCGCGAGCAGTGTTGCCTCGAGCAGTTCGCGTCAAAGGGTCACGACGGTCGCCACCATCATGCTGTTTCCAAGCAAGATGGAGGCAAGGGCGTCTGCTGTAGCCGTGGGAGGATTTAGGCAAGGATGGGAGAGAGTCGGCCGCATGGTCTTCCATCCCGCGGACGTCTTCCCGACCGAGGTGGAGCTCAGGGAGGACCAAGGGACCCTTGAGGACCCCCCGCGGATTTACGCATTTGTGACAACGGCCATGAAGTTGGTACTAAGCGTTGGCGTCTGCCCCCTTAGGAAGACGCATTGGTTCGACGTCGGGGTCATCTACGACGTCGTGAAGAAGTCTATCCACCGCAAGTTCGAGAACGAGATCATGTGGTTGTCCCTGTGCATTATGCGGAACCACCATGCTCGGCAGGGGCCATTCATATGGATCGAGCATTACGATCGCGTGGGACCGTATGATGTCGGATTCCGTGTCGCGGAGAGATGTGACGATGAGGCCCTCCAGCGGCAGGAGGAGAATTTGCTAAAACTCTTTCATATCTGATGATGAGTCTTTGTGATGCAGGATGGCTGGAGCTCGGTGCGACCTGACGATCCCCAGGTATCTCCTAATTCGAGATACGAACGATGCAGACCGCGTCGCCTGGGCGGAAAGGATGTCGATGGTGTTCGATGGGACTCCGACTCGATGGCTCGGCTTTGTCGGAATCGTCAACGACGGACGTGGTTTTTTTCCGGAAGAGCGATCGGAGATTCGACCGAACGTGTTTCAGCGTCCGAACGAGTTGCAGGGGCATACATTGTATTTTCATCGTGTCTCGAACATGGAGCTTGTCTCTCGAGTCACCGCTGGAGTACTCTTCAGACGATCAGGAGCGTGAATGGTGTTCCTTTGGCTTCGAGACACTTCCGCCCGACACCTTAAGCGCCTCGGTGTGCCTTTCTGGTCCGTCCTGTTGACATTGGCGCGACGAATGGCGGAGCTCTACAGCACGAGCGACCTACGACTTCGATGGCAAGGACGAGTGCGGAGGATGGCGATTAACGACGCGTTCATCCGGCGGCATACCCGGCTAGACAGACGCGCTCGGGCGACTCACACGCTTTACGGCCGCTAGGAGTCGTCCACTCTCTATAGGTCCCTCTAGAGTGGACCGTCCAGCGGAGGGTAGCGAGTTAGACTCCTACGATCGGATCATCAGGCTTCGCCCTCGAGAGGGCTAAAACATGATAAAACTCAGTAGTGCCAACCAAGAAAACATGGTTTGCCCACCCCTATGATTATCATTTTTCCACGATGAATTTCGCTGGTGTCATGATGAGGGGTGAAGGCGACACATAAATTTTGGTCCTTTTTTTTGTATATATTTAAGATTGATGGTCGTTCGCAGTTAGGCGATGGCCGCTGTACTAGGAGGGACGCAAGTGGTTTGGATAACAGGAAGTCACAGGAAAAATAATAGAGAGTGTCTTGGGTATATTGCTACAATGCGGAGTTGTTTTTGCAAATTTGATTCAGTAAGTTCCAGTCTCTGCGAGTTGTGACCGTCGACGGTGTCGACCTGGTAATCCTCTTGTCAGTTTTCACATACATCAATTGTGGAACGCTCTTTAAAACTTTCCTTTCAACTTTATGAGATAGTGAAAACAAAGGCATGTTCTCTGTCATCATACCTGCTAAAGATTGTTGTTTCCACCTTTGGGATGATTCGCTACCTGCATGCTACATTTGTACTTCTTCGTTTGCAACCTCTATGTGCCTTGGCTGTCATGTATGTGCTTTTGGTAACGACTTGAAAAATATTTGGTTGTAACGCTCATGTGCCTTAATGCGACATCTATATGTGAATTGGTTATCACTCTCGCGTGATTGTTAGCAATATCTGTTTGTGCCGTGGTTGTTTACATTCATGTGTTTAATTGTAACGTCTGAATGTCTCGTGTAACCCATATGTGTGTTTTTCACTGCAATGACACTGTCCTCCGGAAAACGTCTTTATAAGAGACTAGGAGTGACTTCGATGGGATTATTCTATATTCACCTATAAGAATTGTCTGTACTACGGCAAAACGAGCAAAACGCCCCTGACTGGTCTTCCTCTGCGATTGCATGTAAAAGCTTTCGTATGTAGATCAGTAGCTCGGTAGGGATACGCCTCTTAGGATGGTGACAGTTCCTCAAGGAAGACGAGTTGTGCCTCGCGGGACCCTGACCTGTCGTAGGGGAACGGGAGAAGTACGACCGACGCACCCGGCTAGAGCGGCAAAGCCCCGTCGTTCACCTCGATTAATTTTGGGGAAAGCATTCCGACTCTAAAAAGAAAGATATCAAACTCCTGCGTGAAGCGGTCGGGAGGTCCCCCTTTATACGTTACGATGCGAAGGGGGGGCCGTTGCGTCCGACAGCTGGCGCCGTTGCCGGGGATGACGGCTATCTACCGTTGTCCCTGGTGGAACGACACTCGGGTAAGGTAATCCCAAATAATTACCTTGTATTATTATTTAACTAAGCAGTTCGGTTGTGATTTTGTTTCCTCTCGAAACGACAAGTGGCATTATCGTGACAATAACCCTAGTACGATTGAGAGATTGTGAGATAATAACAACTCGACATGGATGGGTCATCCCGATCGGTCAGAAACCGCATAATGCAATGAGTTTGATTAAAATATTTCCCGAGTCACGTATCTGATTGTGATCGTTGTTCCTTTGACACTTCACTCAAGATGGGGAGCCCCAACCTTGCTGAGAACGATAGTCTGGGCGACGAGAGGCGCAATGACATTCAGGAACTCGCGAGGCTTTTTCGGCAAAACACCACGTCACATGAGAAGTTTCCGAAAATCAAGGTTCCTCTGTTCGATGACGAGAATGTTACGGACTGGCTAGAAAAATATGAGTTGAATGCTCATGTGCGTCAATGGACGGAATGGAAGATGTTGGAAGTAGTAAAACGCTATGTGCACGTTGATCTTGCAGAAGAAGTCGGTGAGGTGGCGTGTAGCACACAAATCTGGAAAACATTCCGTGAGCGAATGTTGGAAAAATACTAGCTAGGAGACAAATTGTTGGATGTCTCTGACCTTCGTAAAGTAAGTCGGGAGAAATTTAGGACGATCGAAGGGTTCCTAAAGAGGTTTGAGAAGGTCGCCAAGAGGGTTTCCGATCTTCCCGATAAGACGAAATGCATTATCTTTCTGACCAACTTCACGGAAGTCGAGCAAAGAGAATTGATGAAGGGTTTTACTACCAGGTACGACTGGAATATGATTAAGGAGAATCTTAAGGTCGGTGAACTCGACTGAATGCTCTATCATCTCCTGCGCAGGCAAAAGAAAATGCAGGAGGATGAGTTAGTAAGTTGTGATAAGGATAAAAAGATGTTTGGGGCGATTATGGATGTTAGGATGATGATGAAAGAAATGAGGAAGGAGGGACTGTGTGGCAAGGTACTGACGGTGAGGCAACAAGACGGCAAGAGAAAAGGAAAAGAGAGGGACGAGAAGTCCGACGAGGAAGGTAGTGAAAAAGAAGAAGAAGAAGAACCTCCTCAGAAAGCAACGAAGGCCGAACGAAAGGCCATGAATTAAACACGGGGAGGGCAAGGTACGAATGGAAAGCAAACCAAAAATAAGAGTTGCCATGGGAATGATAATTGTGATACTATCAATCAGCATCAGAGACAATTTCAAGATACCGAGCCCCGACAATTTCGGCCGCAAAGCGAAGGAGGCCGGGGGCGTGGTCGGGGAGCTTCTGGTGGTCGCGGTTACTGTAATAAGGATTGAAATTGTAACTACTGTGCACAAAGAGGGCACGGTGTCCGATACTGTCGGACCCTCGCTAAAGATGAGGAGGATCGGATTGTGTACACGAACATTCGAGGCGAGGTGTTCGATTTCGAAGGGAACCTTATCGATTCATACATAGAAGGAGGAATGAGGAAGGAAGCATTTCGATGCATGAACCGGACCATGCCCTGCACTTACCGGTTGGTCTCGAAAGAGGAAATGAAGATTCTTGAGTCTAGAGAGGCTGCACGCCAGACAGTCGTTAGTAGGCCTGATGTTAGTAAGGGCAAGACCGAAAATGAGAGGGCTGTGCGAAAAGCCTTAAGCTCGAGAAGCGGTTTAAAGGCATTTGGAGGCCAAGTTATGAGACTGGGTCTCGACATGGAAAAAATTCGGCTGGGCATGCCGAATATGTTTCTGCTTGGTGGGCACGACGGGAGAAGGGGCATGGCTCCTTTGGCGGCGTCTCTGTCAGCATTACGTGCGGAGAGGCCGTCATCGTCCCACCTTCAGACGGCCTCTGCGGGAACGCATTCCGTCTTGAACAGGCCCATCCTCCGAAGAGGAACGTCACCAGCGGTCCCTCAAGCACAAAAGATTAAGAAGGGAAACCAACCTCGAGTCGCGCCCATTGTCAGTGCGAAGGCGCAACAAGAGGCGCCGGTAGTAATCGTGGAAGAAGACTTGGACACGGAAGATGAGAAATTAAGGGCGGAGGACGAGCGTCAGGCAAGGTTACGCGCCCAAAAACGAGGTCTAGATGAGAATCAAGATAAGGAAAAGGATGAGGGAGAAGAGGAAGAGCACCAAAAGAAGAAGAACCGGTACACGATTTCGATTGAGGAAGGGATCGACATTGAGAAGATGGTGGATCGGATACTTGAGAGCCATCGAGATTTGGTAACACTCAAGGAATTTTTGGCAGCCTCGCCAAAGATTCGGGAAGAGCTTAAGCAAAGATTAACTCGATGGAAGGTGATGACGGTTAAACTAGGGGACGTAATCCCACCTGAGGCAAATTTGACTCCTGCAGGAGCAAAGATGGATTGGAGGTGTGTAGCGACTGGGCACGTAATGGTCAAGATAGGTGTTTCACAACACCTTGCGCTCGTTGACACCGGAGCGGAGATGAACATATTAAAGGAAAAAGAGGCGCTAGAGTTAGGAATTGAGATTGATCGCACTGATAATGAATTTCTGGTTGGCGCCGGAGGGTCGACACCCTTCTGTGGAACTGCCAGTAACGTTAGTATACAGATTGGCAAGGTAAAGGTACAGTCTTAATTTTACGTGTTGCCACTGGTTGAGCATGGGGTGATGTTGGGACGATCATTCTTATGCCGATCGGAGTCCATCATCATCAATAAGCATGATGGGACGATGTTCATAATACTGTGCGATCCAGTGTGTGGACACTTCGAGGTGATCAAGTGGCCGAACACCGGGCCTAAGAATTCGAGGAACAAGTTGAATCCTGAATCCTATAGCTTCGAGGAAGCATAACAATTGGTGAGAGAACAAGAGTCATATGGGGAGGACGATGAGGAGAACCCAATGGAGTTTTTCTTAGCTCTTCCCGATGTTTCACAGGCTCTGGATTTCGTTTCAACCCACTCTGAAATCGACCGAAACCTTGTACACACACTAACTGAGATTGTGTCTGAAGGTGGTAGCACGGGGAGTATGTGCTTAACATACTGACCTCACACCCAGTCAGTTGGTGAGGAAGGTGTGATCCCACAAGCCAAGCAAGGGTTTTTTTTAGAGGAGGGAGACTTAAAGTTGGATCAAAGCGGCGGTATAAGAAAGTAGCTGACAAAGCCAAGCCTGTCCCAGTCACCCACGACGAAGAAGTGTATTATAAGGAGGAGAGAGAGTGGATTAGGGCGATGAGAGAAAAAGGTGAAAGAGAGTCGTGTCGTTTAACCGACGAGAGAATTAAGGAGATAATCATTGGAGAAGAGGGCTTCCTGACGAAGGAAGAGAAAACCCTCATGATTGATGTCATGAAGGAAGAGCACTTGGCATATGCTTTTCATGACAATGAGAGGGGAAGATTAGACATTGATAAAATCCCGATGATTAGGATACATATGGTACCACACCAACCTTGGAATATAAGGGGGTCACGCTATCTTAACCCGGATGACCATCGGAAGGTTGCAGACTACCTAGATGGGAAAATCAAGACGAAGGTAGCCGACTACTCCTATGGACCATATGCGTCTCCATGGTTTTGTTTTGTCAAACCTAACGGTGTCTTACGGTGGGTACAAGACTTGCAGAGATTGAACGCGGTGACGGTTCAGGATGACGGTGGACTTCCAAACGAAGATCAATTATCTGAAGCTAGAGCCGGTAGACCAATCATCAACTTGATTGATCTTTATTCTGGCTATGATCAGTTTCCCTTGAACACGGCTGATAGACCTATGACGACAATGCATACACCTAGGGGGTTGGTTCACATGTGTTCCGCACCTCAAGGTTGGACTAATGTCGTCGCAATCGTGCAACGATATATGATGAAGGTTATGCAACCGCGTTGTCCGGACGTGACCTCACCATATATCGATGACTTGTCAATTCCAGGACCAAGGGAGAAGGATGAATCTGAAGTGAAATCAGACATACGTAAGTTCGTTTGGGATCACATTCACAACATCAAGAAAGTTCTGGCTAAGTTAAAAGAGTATAATCTTACGGCGAGTGGAGTAAAATCCAAAAAATGCATGAGTGAGGCTACAATCTTGGGATTCCTAGGCGACAAGAAAGGTCGTCGACCGGATACCAAGAAAACGAATAAGATCTTAGAGTGACCTACTCCGCTTAAGTCTGTTAGCGAGATAAGGAGTTTTTTCGGGACTTGTGGGTTTTGGAGGATTTTCATCCAACATTTTGCTGCAAGGGTGGAGCACTTATGCAAGCTCGTGTGTAAGGGCCAAGATTGGGAATGGGGACCGGACCAACAGAAAGTTGTTGAGGACATAAAGGCTTAGTTTCGCGAGGGAGGAATGGTGCTCGGGGTTCCATGCTTCGATGGCGACCCAAAGCGACCATTCATTATTGAAATCGATGCAGGACCTATAACTCTAGGAGGGGTCCTTATTCAAAAGAACAAGAGCAGGGTCGAGCGTCCGTTAAGGTTTGAAAGTAGAACCCTCAACCTCACGGAGCGAAACTATTCTCAGTTCAAAAGAGAGACTTTAGCAGTGCTTCATTGCCTAAGAATTTTTCGCAATTATGTTTTCGGCCGGAGATTCGTCCTGAGGGTTGATCTGACTGCCTTGGCTCAGTCATTAAGAAATCATTCCCCTTCTGATCTGACGATCGCAAGATGACTTACGTACATTTAGATGTTCGATTTTGAAGTCGAGAGGATAGCCAGCGTGAAGAATCGAGCAGACGGGCTAAGTAGAATCGACTGGGACAACTCCGAGATTCGAGCAGAGGACTCTGTGCCTGTTGACGGATTCCTGGAGATCGAGGAAGGTCAGCGAAGCATAAATTCTTACCATTATCTGGTTGATGCGTCTTACCGGCAAGGGAGGTCTATGTGGAACGGTCCCAACTTTTATCAAGTTCGTCCTGAGCTGGTGAAAGAAGAGTCATTTATCGAGGAGGATCCATGGGGCGAGAGGTCCGGTGAGCGGATGATGAGTCTCGCACTCTCCGACTCTGTTCGGCTGTCGGAAGATCCCTTGTCAATTCAAGAAGGTTTCCGACATGCCGATGAGGTCCTCAGAGTATCTGGCGGGACGTGTTTTGTGATCAGAGGAAGATTTGAGGGCGTTGGTACCAGTTGACGAGGACAGTAGGATAAAAGAAGCCTTTAAGGAAAATGAGTACGATGGGATATATAGAGAGATCGAATTATGGTTGAGTAAGGAGATATGCGAGGAAAGTGTAAAGGGTGACATTCGTCGGAAAAACGAAGAGTTTGTGGTGAGGCACGGCCATCTATTTAAGAAGAGCGAAGATGGCATCCCAAAAAAGGTCGTTTGTGGAATGATGAGGCAATTAGACGTGATTGCGACTCTCCATGACGGGATTGCAAGAGGGCATCACTCGGCCCGAGTGACGCTCCAGAAGTTACGACATCTTTATTTCTGAGACGGTATGAGTAAAATGGTTACGGATTACTGCAGTTCGTGCTTTCCTTGTCAAGAACGCTCCAACCATAAGTATGTCGAACCCCTTCACCCACAGTACGTTGCTGAACCAGAAGCCGTGGTGCACCTCGACTTGGTGGTTATACCGCTAGGAATGAATGGGTATCGGTTTATCTTTGACGCAAGAGATAATCTGACAGGGTTCGTCGACGGTTGTGCAATACGAGAAAGGACCGGAAATGTTCTAGGTGGGTATATCGAAGAGTACTACCTTCAGTATCCTTTCATCCGCGAAATCGTGATGGACCGCGGTGGTGAGTTCCGAGCGAAAGAAGTTCAAACTCTCCTAGGGAGGTTCGGCGTGAAGTACCGATATACCACGAGGGCGCATCCGCAAGCAAACGCTCTGGTTGAGCGGGGGCACTCCACCCTCACAAACTTGTTAGCTAAGTGGTGTGCTGGGAAACCTTCTAGGTGGTCGGTGTACCTTCGCACATAACTTTTCCGATTGAGAGTCTCCTGACAACATGGCAAAGGCAAGACTTAGAGAGTAACCTCTCATTGGAAGAGCTACTCGACCTAAGGGCCAGACAGATCATGGCCACGGAGGAAAGGATTGAAGAGGCGCTTCGACCACAGCAAGTAGAAGGGCAGACAAGGAGAGATGGGACAGACAGCCGCCGGTCCGCAAGGAACCCTTAGAAGTCGGTGATGTTGTCCTTCTCTATGACTCTTCGCTGAAAAAACAATGGTCGAGGAAGCTGGATAATAGGTGGTTGGAACCTTATCGCATCCTCAAGAAATCGGAACACGGAGCATATGAGGTCGAAGAACTTAACGGAGCTCGAAGAGCGGATTGGGTTTCAGGATCGAAGTTGAAGAAATTCATACAGAGGGTATGAGTGAGGTAAGGATCGACACGCTTTCACCTGAGTTGAATACATTTTTGCATCATTGTCTGGTGATTATTTGTTTAGTCAATCGAGTCGTGCCTTCAGTGAAAACTGGTGGGTTTCCTTTCTTTCTTTTCCGACTGTCCTTGTGGCGACAAGGAGGGAAAGGGGAAGTGAAGCTACAGTTCGAGGTGGCATCGAGCTCTCACCAAGACAAGGTTTGAAGATGGTGCGGGTTGCGATCGCTCGCTTATCCGAGAGATTGGCATCTCAAGAGAAGGGAGTTCCTTTGTTCATGGGGGATAATGTGAGAGAGTTCACGCTAACAAGGAACAATGGACTGAGGGTCCGATGAGAGACCAAGTGGCTCGGTACTCGGACGAATACAGGAGACCCGTTGTTGCTATTTTTGCAGAAGCGTCAGAGAATTGGGTCGAATTCGTTGCGGTCATGAGAGATACCTTTAACTTTGGAAGTATGGAGGAAAAAGGTGACCAAGCCATGATACAAATCACTCCTGTAGAGACTCAGGCTAGAGCCGAAAACACATCGATTATGGAGCTACTAACAGGTATCATTGAACGACTCGATGAGCTGGATCGTCGTATTACCCGCCTGGAAGGGGCACAGGGAAGGGAATATTCTGGGTCGCAGCCAACCACAGCCTCGGTAAAAGGGAAGGAGAAAGTGGTTGAGCCTGCCTCGAGGAGTACTAAGAGAAAATCTTTGGCGGGCAGACCTTCGCAACAGTCAAAGACAGGATCCTTGGTAATCAAGGAGGGAAGCTTGTCGCAGGAGAAAAGAAAAGACGGAGTGTCGGAGTCCATAAAGGTTGCTAGGCCGACACATCAGAAAAGCGTAGTTGTTGGAAGCAAGAGAGAGAGGGTCACATTGTCTAGCAATGAGATACCGACAAATATTGCCAAAGACGATTCCTCGGTCCGAGAGAGAGGAAATGCACTTAGTATGAAACAACGTAGCGAGGTTTTGAGGAGGGTTCTTAGTCCTCCGCTGTCTGGGTCGAATGGTAGAACGAACTCTCTAAGGACGGAGGGGACACCATTATCGGGACCTCCCTTCTGTGTTGTATGTCAGAAAACGGGTCATAAGGTAAGAGATTGCCCAGTTCTTAGAGAGGAAACTAGATTAGAGCCGTGATATAATTTAAAGGCTATATATATGTATACCTATATTATATATATATATATATATATATATATATATATATATATATATATATATATATATATACCAAAACTTTTGTTATTGACTCTGTTTGACTCCATGTTTTGACTCAGTTGGCTTGATATGAAAAATGTTGGACATTGTCGATTAAATTTTCCGATGGAACCTAATAAAGTAAATCAGTTGGATGTATGTCGACCATATGGTGCAAGTTTGAAATTCTAAGAGGAACATTCGTCGTTCACTTTGAATTCTTGTACATTATTGAAATGGCACCAGATTCAGCCTCTGGCTAGCCAAAACAGTTATTGAACGGCCCCAATCAGTCTCAAACAGTTACTGAAATGACACCATATTCATCCTCTTGCAGTCCAGTAAATCATGAGAAGACTGTGTTTTGGACTCCCGAGGGCTGATTTTGGTTTCATCCACATACACTTTCAATTGGTTTTATGTTTCTAAAGGCTGAATCTGGTACCGTTCCTGTAAATTTTGTGATTCTGGAGGCTGAATCCAGTTTGGTTGTTAAATTCTGAAAGCATGTTTGAATTTAAAATTGGTCGTCTTTTAGGATGAGGGACATGCGTGCGTTGAGAGACCTTGCTACCAATTTGATTGGAAACGCTAAAGCGCATACAAAATTATCTACCTATGTATAAATCCTAAACGACAAGGATGTCGTTTAATGGGGTCCGGGATGACTGTCGGGGCAGAAACCCTTACAAGGGTATCTGCCGGCGTTTTGACGGCTCGCGGGAAGGCGTCATTCTATCCGTACGCTGACGGGGCGTCGGTAAGCAAGTAAAACACAAAGTAAAGATAATCCGCCGCGGCGCAGCAAAAGATTTCATGGGTATCCCAACCCCCTATACATATTTACATTTCTTTTCTTATCGGGTATTGACCCCGCGTCTGTCTTTTCAAAATCTGTTACTCAGACTCTAGGGTTGGGCACCCAAGTGGTTGTAGATAGGGCAGTTGACGCTACAAAGACATATCGCGGCATAAACTACTAAAGGAAAGAAGCCGCAACGACAGGGACGTTGGGGCTACCATTACCCTTCGCCCCCACCATCAGAACGACGCACTACGACCTAAACAAAAGGTCACCGTATGGCCCATCGGCCGCGCAATTCAGGGTCCATCGGAGGAAAAAACCAACGTAAAAAAATACCTGGAGCACGACTGCAACATAGGAGAAAGGGGGAAGTCTAAGAGGGAGACGCTCGAATTAAAGGCCTATCCGAGAAGACTATCGAAAAAGGACCTACCCTACCGCAACCCTTATAGGACTCAACCCCGCTCCTACGCCGTGTGTGTGCGCGCCATGCCATTTAACTAGGAAAAAATGGGTGTCTAGGTAATATGACAGGAAGCCGTGGAAATAGGCGCATCGGGACCAAGCATTCCCCGGCGTTCCTACCACTAGGACAATGTGCGACATCCTAAAAAGAATGGGGTCGGCCGCGCGATTCAGAGCTCGACGGTTGGAAACGGCCGCGCCGGGCAATGGTCTGAAGGCGGCGCGATAGCGGGCAAAACTAAGGGTTGGAGTTGAAAATTTACCTACGGAAACCTACCCGTAAGAACGCACCCTATCTGAATTTCTATAGGCCCGACCCCGCGCCTACGCCATACCTACCTATCACACGACTCAGCTAGGCTAGGAGGGTGTGAGGACGGTGCAAAGGGGGAGGCGCTAAGTGGAAAAAGGCCTAAAGGAACATGCCTCGGGAAAGTTAGTATGCTACCCGGCGTGTACCTTTCTTATAGGAAGGGCGCTCCCACCTATGCCATGGTAGGAGCTAGCCCAGTGGGTTCGGAGACGGGATGACAAGCAGCTAGTATATGGATCGAGCCCCACTACCTCCGCCCGCCGGTCTGGTTCCCGTTTTGGAACGACGGAGCAAGTAAGCACTGCCGGGGCACCTCGCCCAACGGTAGAAATACAGGCGGCGCTCCTGCCTGTACCATGGTAGGAGCTAGTCCAATGGGTTTGAGAGCAGTCCGACAACCACCAGATACGGGGATCGAGCCCGCGCGCGCCACGCTATTGCGGACAATAGGAGGGTCGAAGGCGCCCGATTCGACTAAGGCACAGGGCGGCATCCGCCACGCCGCCTGGGAAATCGCACGAAATGGAGTTCGCCGCCAAAAAAAAAAAAAAAAACCCTTCTAAAACCCTCCTCTGAGGCGGCGGGACTCGATCTCTGGGCAGTGGGATAGGAGGACCTCGTGACCGTTGGGAGGAGGAACTAATGGGAACGAAAACGAGATGTCAAAAAGGAAAATGAACAGGATTTTCCTGGAATGATCGCGCAACCGGGGACCCGAACTGCGGGCCTCGGCGTGAAGGGAACCAAAAGCGTGTTAAAACAAAAACGGCGGGGGACTAAGAAGAAACAAAAACAAGAAAAAAAAAATAAAAACAAGCGGGATTTCCCCCTGATATGACCGCGCGACGGGGATTCGAGCCGTGGGCAGCCGGAGGAGAAAGGCAGAAACGACAGGTAAAAAAGGTGGGGGGCAGATCCCGACAATAACGGCTAGCCCTGCCCAAAAACGACGCCCACCTAGCTATACCTACGCCTTCTTGTTTTTTTTATTTGTTTTCCTTATTTTTTTTGTCGTTTTGTCCCTACTTTAAT